ATGTTAAGCAGGAGTGCACCCATAAAAGTGCACAGTTAATGTTCACATGACTTAAAAGAAGTCCATCTGCTTCAAAGTGATAAGCGTTATCTATCAATATGCGGACTGAGACTCTCCAAACAAAACTGCAATGGGTTTGCTGTTAACATTCACTGCAGCATTTGAAGGGGAACATAAGGGATATGTGGATTTTATGAGGTAAAACCTTCAGATCTTCAAAAATAAGCTTTGGTGACATGCTTAAGAGTAAGATGATAGACTGTGATGACGTTTTGTTGACAAACTTTCAATTTGTAGGTGTAGTTCTGAGGTGACTTGTTTTTTTCCTGCTGTAAATTTAATCGATGCCCTCTAGTGGAATACCGTAGTAGCGATGGTTTAGTGCTGCTCTGATGTGGAAATTAAAAAAGGGGTCATAAAATTTTTGAAATCATTCTAAAAATGAACAGCAAATTTAAATGAGATGGATTTTTATCAGCCTTATGCTCTCCATTCAAGTATGGAGATTTTCCATACTACTGAGTAGGAAACTGCTGGGGAATCTCCCTCTCCTCTCTCCTAATCTCTGTGTAAGATGTTCTTATGCCTCTTTTAGCCATAATTACATGTGTAATATATGTAGCACTTTTATAGCTTTGGAACCGAGGTTGTGAGAGTTAAGAGTCCTGGCTTCGGGCTATTGAACATCCAGGAGTTGGATTAGGCGCAATTGTTAACAACCTGGAGCAACTAAGACCAGGGACACATCCCTTTAACAATAAGTGGTTCTCCAACAGTTCCTGAACAGCCAGGGTGACAGTATGCAGAAAGTGTAGTTGTAGATCTCTGCCCACTGGTCACCACCAACCCATCCACGTTTCTGGCCATTTTTCCCCGCTCAGTGATGCACCCACTGAGAAGAACACTCTGATAATTGGCAGCTCTATGGTAAAAAGCGTAGCATTAGAGACACCAGGGACCATAGCCTAATGTTTGCCGGGGGCCAGAACGGGCAACATGATCATATCCTATCTAGCGAATGATAAGGTTAAATGCAGAAAGAATGTATTTCATGCTGGCAGTAAAAACACGTCGATCAGAGGTCACTAAAATTAGTGTTGCTCCGGTGTGTAAGTTTGCCAAAACAATGTCAGACTCCGTAATTTTTTCTGGTCCACTCCCTGATCCGCCATTAATAACATGTTTAGCCACATGTCCCCATTCAGCTGGCGGTTGTCTAGGTGATTTCCTAAAAACAATGTGAACCAAAATTATATTTTACATTCTTTTTGGGGGAAACCTGGTGTGATTTGGAGAGAGCATCCATCCTAGAGACGGATGGTGTAGCTCTTCTTTCTAATAATCTGGCCAAATGTATTAATTTTCCAAAACCCTGAAAATCCAGGGTACAGACCAGAACACTGATTTGTAGTTTAACACACCTCTCTGCAGCTTCTCGACGGTTTCCCACACATCATTCCATCCAGGCAGTGTCTTGCCAACAACCAAAATCAAATAAATTAAAAAAGAATTTCAAAAGAGTAAATGAGAGCTCTTTTTTCAAAAAGTTTGTTAGTTAATGACTTGATTGTGATAATCAAATTGATTTATGTTGTCTTACAGAAAGGGCTGCAGCAAGAGCTTTATGTGAGCATAAATAACCAACTCCCTGTAGTTATTTTAATTTTCACATACCCAGAAATTCTGGGCCAGTAGGGGGAGTAGCAAAAATCTTTTAGTCTGACTTAGTGATTACTCCTAAGTCAGTTAATAATTATAACCTTTTGAACATTTAACCCTTAGTTTCCCTCATCCAAATTGCAAAGCAACAAAACCTCTTCTTTTTGTTACTTTGTATCATCCACCAGGTCCTTACTCAGAACTTATAGATGAGTTTTCAGAGTTCCTGTGTTAATTATTGTTAAATACTGACAGAGTCATCATAGTGGAGGATTATATCATCCATGCAGACACTGAAGGTAATAGCTTAAGTGCAGCCTTTAATGCTATCTTAGACGCTATTGGCTTTTTTTCAAAATGTGAATAGTCCCACACATTCTCATCTTCATACTTTGGACTTTGTTTATAAGAATGATACTAGATGTCTTTTTAATATGGTTGCTAAATTCACCAAGAGCCATAGCTTTGTAGAACTGTTCATTCCACCTGCTCATAGCAGTAATGATTTTATGGGATGGCCATCCTGCTCAGGTTATCCTGACCCCTCTATAGTTATGCTGTTATAGGCTTAGACTGCTGGTGGACATAGAGACCCCTTTTCATCATTCTATCTCTATTTTCCAATTCTGCTGTATTTGTTAGTAAAGCCTCTAACTTAATGCTCTCTTTGCTTTTTCTCATCGTAGTAGCTTCATCTGGTTTGTTCTAGTTTGGCTGTGACACTCTCCAGATTTTTAAATGCTGGAGGCTGGCCTGTCTTTCAGTGTAGTCCTGCTTGTCTTACTGTGACTAACAATATGTACTCTCTTTCATTCTCTGACATGGGAGCTGGCTTTGTCTTTTCTGCAGGGATCCACCTGTGGACAGTAACATTTAATATTTGCTTTTTTGTATATCTGCTTCTAGAATTCCAGTCTGCCTCGGCAGATGGCTGCCCACAATGAGCCTGGTTCTGGAGGTTTCTTCCTGTGAAAGGATTTATTCTCCCCAGTCTCGCTACATGCATGCTTGGTGTGAGGGATTGCTGAAGAGTCAATGAAATCAGCTAGAAAACTTTGAACCAATAGGTCTGTGTGATCTGGTTGAACTGTCTCTGTAAGGTGCTTTAAGATGACATGTTGTGAATTGGCGCTATATAAATAAACTGAATTGAAATTCAAATATGAGATGGGCTTCTGTTTTACAGAAAGTGTAGATAAAAGAAAGTCATCACATGGTAAAGTAGATCAAATGGGAATTAAAGCACACATTGTGCTTTAGAGTAACAAAGAAAAGAAATAGTGGGCTAGTTCTGCTTCAGTGTGCTACATACACATCAACATGTACAGGAGCAGAGCTGTGGGAAGGCATTGTTAATACTCCTCAGCTTGGTCTACTCTGAGTCTGTGTCTCTTCTTGGTCTCATTGTTGTTAAGACCCCAGGTAGGAGTAACAATGCTTTTCCCTTTTTCTAATTCTTTAGAGCCTTTTGTTTTGGGGATATGATTTCCCATGTATATATGCATGGTTGGATATCACTAGGAAGTTTGGGTTGGTTTTAAATGTCACAATTTAACAGTTCTTTGCTTTATATTGATGTATTGGTTTTATTTGAGCCCTCAGCTCATCCACTTTTTTTCACTTTTGAGACAGCCATCTTATTTTTCTTATAAAGTAACAAGACCTTAAGCAGACATTTTAGCTGGTCTGGTTAAGCTAACCATCTGGATGTTCATGTTAAATGAGCTCCTTGGCAGTGATACCATCATCCAAAGGTTTGTTTCTGTCATAATGTACATAAGCAAACATAAGCATAGAAACATAGCTCAAATCAGTTTAGATCTAGTCTTTAATACTTTTCTTAAGACAAATGCTGCCTACAGAGTTCCAGAGGGGTTTGAGAAAATGCACTTAATACCTGCTGCTCCGTGTGCTGGACCAGCGTTCCTGCTGTTGTATTGCTTTCTCATCAAAAGGCCAATAGAATCTGGTTAATTTGAGTCATCAGGAACCTTTTTCTATTATATCAGGAGTCTATTGGTCTCTAAAAATTGACTGAAATTTTGTCAAAATTGGCCAATTCAACTAAATCATCTAAAACAAATTCTTAAAACAACGCAAAAGTGGTTCACAAATGGTGGTACAAACTTAACTCTAGTTAGATCCTTTAGAACTTTCGTGTGATGAGCTGCAGTATAAGAAAGGAAGTAGAAGAATCTGAAGCTTTCTTGTACAAAGAAAAATGGTGAAAATATTTCTCTCTATTGTAACCTTGTGAACTGTTAAAGAAGATTACTAGAAAATGTCCTGTTTGCAAAAGTATCAACATGAGGAGTACACATCAAATTATTGTGCTGCTGGAAATTTTGGTTCCAAACTATATAAAAGATAAGCATCTTTTCCTACATTAAATAAATATTAACATCATACTGTATGCAATATTTTTAAATTTATTATAGATTTCAAATAAAACAAACCCATAAAATAAGGTGTGCAAGGATATAAAAAAAAAGGTTTTTGAAAGAAAAAAGGAGTTATCTGACTTATAGAAATAATGTGGTAGGACATGAGGTGAATTATTTCATTTTGTTTTTCTGTACAGAAATAGGACCATTTTGAAAGTTGATTTTTTTAATGTTAAAGACAGGTGATGGTATTTTCTCATTTTGAGCAATGATTACATAATTGGGGGCAAATTACAATAAAAGCAGAAACTTGTGCTATGTTTCATGAATGAATATCTTAAACCAAATTATTTTAATAAAAAAAAACATAAATTATAATTTGAACAAATTTGTAGGTGATTTCTCTGTTCAGATTATAAGGTGTAATATATATATATATATATATATATATATATATATATATATATATATATATATATATATATATATATATATATATATATATATATATATATATATATATGTATGTATATGTATGTATGTATGTATATATGTTGCCCTTTTTATTTATGATGCTCCAACAAAGCAGTGGAACCCAAACAGACCAGTTTTGTCCAAAGGAAAATTAAATTATTACAAGATGCTATTGGAAAGATAGAGCAAAAAATTATTCTATTCATAAAACCTAAAATATATTTCTACTAAATACTAAAGGATTACATTAAAATGTTCTAATTAGAAGAAATCTTTTACATAGCTAGTTTTTTTATTCTGTCATTAGGCAAGTAAATAAATTTTTTTTATTTACAACAGCAACAGTTGAGACTGATCTATTAACAGAATGTAAGAAAAGTAAAAAGTTAATCCTTCCTTTTGGTAACAGCAACTTATGAACAAGAATCTCCTAGATTTCAAACCTGAAAGGTTAAGTTTAACAATGGAGAATAACAACCAGTGTACCATAAGTCATATATTTGTTTATTTTGCGTTCTCAACATTGTCACAGTTGAAGTTTTACAATAACTGGGGTCTTACTGACTCACTATTCACTGTACAAACAGAATGCACATTTAAATGAGGCCATTTCTGTCGTTTCCATTCCTCAAAACTTGTTTCGTGCCAGACCGAACAGCTCGCAGCCGGTTGTGATTAAATTTATCTGTATGTATTCTCTACAGGTGTGTTTGTGTGTTTGCATGTATGGAAGGAGAGCTGCATGTAATTTAGGGCAGCACGCTTTTGATAACAGTCTGGTGTTGATTTCCACAGCAAATCTAAGTTTGAAACAGCTGGAGGAAGAGAGGATCGATCCGTTCAATCGGCACCTCCCATCCACCCAGGAGGCAATGTGTGTAAATCCTGATCTCAACTGCAGATGTCAGAGTAGAGCGCTGGAAATATAGACATTATGTACATCTCCTTTTAACCCCAGTTTTGGTCCCTTTTACAGTCTTCACAAAGTTTAACTCTCTCACCGAGCAGTTCATCAGTTTGCACGACAGAATCCTGTATTTACATGATGAAAGCCCTCAGCGACGCAGTGCAACATTTTCTTTTTGTTTGTTTTTCTTTCTTCTTCCATGTTTGTAATTTACACAATGGCTTTGTAGATGAAATGCATGCTGAGCTTCAATAACTACCAGGCATTAAACATGGAACGACAAGGACACGCCAACATTGTAAAGTTCCAACTTATTCAGAACCCAAAAGAAAAAAAAAAAAAAGCAAAGAAGTCCAACATTTAATAGGCTGATTTCTTCCCCATCAGCTCACAGTGAATAGGACGCATGATGCATCGGATCCATGCAGTGCATTGTTGGGGTACTTTTGAGAAAGAAACAAAAACAACATTTAAAGCACATCAACACACCAAAAAATAAACAGTTGTATCAGTTTCACACCAAATTCAAAAATTTCTGAATTATAGCAAAGATATGAAATCATTGGAAAAAGACACATTCAGCTGATCATTAATGTCCCGGGTCATGATATGTCTGTCGTCTATAGGAAGAAAAAAAAAAAAAAGATTATGTGTGAGCCTGACTTCTGTGGATTTCTTCATGAATAGTAAAATACATTTTATAACCTGAATATTGGGACAAACAGCTTACTGTCACTAATTTACACACTAGAATAGACTCTTATTTGTAGAATATAGAAAGATAATCTTTACATTTACCAGTTCTTTTGTTTAGCTTGCATTTGTGTAGGTTATAACTGCATTTCCTGAATAAAACAACAAAACCGTCCTTTTATATGTGCTTGTCCAGTGAAATATTTCTGTTTCCTTTTTATTAAAATATATACACACATTCTACTTTCCACTCTGAAGTGTCTAGGTATTTAAACATCTTTTTAAAAGAACAAAAAAAAAAAAAAGTGTTTTCACCTGAATCTCATTCTGGACAACAAGACGACAGACTTTCACTCTCAAGTACAAGCCTGCATGATTGCACTTAAACTTGCCGTGGTAACACTGATTTGTTATACAATGTGCAGAGGTTAGCCTCACATCGAAAACATTACATGCAAAACAAACAAACAAAAAAAAAATCTTACAGGACATTCCACTGAGCTCCAAGTCTGTACCTCTCATAAGACCATGAGGACAGGTGGACATTAATTTACAGAGAAAATTACTCAGACAGGGGGTCAAAAGTGAAAATAAATAAATATTGACGCAAAATGACAAACACACAAATGCGAGGAGAGGCCTTGCTTGCTCTTGATGTACAAAATCTGTACAAAGATATTGCACATTAAATAGAAAAAAAAACAAAAAAACAAATCTACCAAAATTGAGTTGGGGAATGAGACAAATAATCCAAACAAGGCAAAAAAACAAAAAAAAAACAAAAATTAAGGATAATTTTTTTGTCTGATTTTAGAAGCAAAGAAAGCAGCAGCTGCATATTGACTTTGTCTGGGACCATTTGTAACATGAACAAAAACTTTATCTGCTAACAGCTTAGCACCAATTTCCTCATTTTTAGTGCTCCTTTTTCAGTATTTTTTTTTTCTTTTTTGACAAAACGTCTCTTTTAGTAATTCAGCTCCACCTCAAACAAAATAATTTAAGGTCAAATATACAGCGGCTGCCATCTTTAGCTGTTCATTTAGTGTTTTTCTATTCACCGAATAGCCAAACAAAAAGCTTCAATACAGATCAGAGGCCTGGACCTAACCAGACCAGGCTGAATGGGAGTTTGCTCCTTTCTTCAGATCTTCATCCCGTCACCAAAGTCAGCGTAATACTGATAGACGCCATTTTCGCTTATAATAATTGTAAGTATAATCTTACAAATTACTTTACACACAATATACTGTACATGAAGTCTCGACTAAATAGATTATGCGTTAATAATTGGCACATTTATTTAATGAGAGCTAAGACACAAAACGTATAGTTGTCGCATACAGTAAGTACAGCACTAGAACTACTATGAATGAGTTGTTCAGCTGTCCAGAGACTTAGTGTGAAATGCTTATATCTACGTTTTTTCTGTATTATACATGAGCTCTAGAGGAGGTGACGACACATAGCTGTCACATGATGGAAGGATCTGAAAACCCAAAGAATCAACAGTTGAAACTGTGAAAAACAGTCAGACATGTTCTCATCTTAAGGTTTCCCTCCTCCTGATTATGTAATGGTTGGAGGAATAAATGAGGGGATTAAGCAGCGGACTAGAGCTTGTGGAAAATAAAGAGCCTTCCTGTGCAGACTATCCAAGCCCTCCACACACAGAAGCCCCAGATCAGGCAAACTAGTGAAGGCCCCTATTGGAAGATTTGTGTCCGATTTCTATCCTGCATATAAGTTGGACCTGGAGGTGAAAGCGGTGTCTGGGTGTGACTGGTTCCCAGCACAGCAGCTGAAACACAGTGGACAGGCCATAGAGTTATGCTGTCAGTCCCTTTGGTGTAAGCGATTGTCCTTCATTCATAAAGTTCCCTCTTTTCGACTTCCTGTCTCCAGGTGAGGAGCATCACACTACGGTGCTGATACCACTGTGTTTGGGTTTGTGCCCGCCGTGTGCTGGGCCCGCCTGCTGGCCGTGGTGGTGAGTGTGCGGTGGATGGTGGGGGTGCTGGCTGTAGTGGCCGTGCTGTGAGTGGTGGTGCGGTTGTGAGGAGTAGGCCGGATGCTGGTGGTACTGTGTGTGGGGAGGCGGGTGGTAGTGGTGGTGGTGGTGGTAAGGCGGGGGATTTTGAGGGAGCTGGCAGTACTGGGGATGCGGGCCGTGTAGCTGGGCCTGCACCGTGTGCACTACCTGCGCTGTGTGGTGCAGGTTGGTGGGGTGGGGCTTGTGCGATATGAGGGTGGGGTGTCCTGGCGGCGGCATAGGGGTCTGGCTCTGAGATGATGGCTTTCCCCGCTTGCTACCAAAGAGCGACCCGAGGATAGAAGTGGATGCCGAGTTAGGGATGGAGGGATGGCCGCGGGAAGACCCCTCCCGTGCCGTGGTGGGTCTCCGACGTGTGTGCGGACTGCTAATAATGGACCCCTGAAGAAGGAAAACATAAACAATTAAAAATAAAATTAAACTGATATGTAGCATTATCAATTCTATAATTCATATCCCTTGAACATTTCTACGTTTTATCAGATTACAACCACAAACAAAATGTGTCCCTGGGAAGTGGAGGGGAAAGGATGCAGCAAATTGTTTACAGATAAAAAAAAATTGTGATATATGGTGAGGATATAAAATCAGCCACACTGAGTAAATACAACATTGAACCACGTTGACTGAAAATGCTGCTGAGGGCCTCTCCAGGTGTGTCTTTACCAGCTTCCCAGGTCTACAGATAGTTCTTTGCAAACCTTAAAATCCTACAGATTGAATTAAGATCATCTGTGAACATTAACTTTTTAGGCCTAGTCAGAAATTCTAAATTGGGTTTGGTTCATTATTTTAACTATGTCATTGTAACACAACATTGAATCTCTGGCTATGTGTTTATTGTCACTGTCCACCTGGAAGGCAAACCTTCACCCCAGTGTTAAATGTTTTGGCTATAAAAGGGCTGCAGCCCCCCAGCAAGAGTTTTCTGTTTTTAGCCTCATCCATCTTTACATCTCCTCTGGCCAGCGTTGCTCATGTGCTTGATGTATCCCCTACATGGCATCTAAAACAACTACAAAAATTATGTCTCTTCATTTCTTTCAACCATGTCCTTATGCAGGTAAATATTCCATTAATGTCATTTGTTTTTAGCATGGCTAACTGACTGATTTACAGTGCAAAGCCATCAAGAAGCTGCATGCACGAGGTGGCAACAGTTGTATTGCCTTAAATAGTGTAACCAAACTAATTTTCAAGTGTAAAAAGAAAGCAGGATCAAATGCAAATAACCAGCATCAAACTGGTTGTTGTGTTTACAGGACTTATGTTTTACTGCACACTAACCACAGATCGTTTCAGAGTCAATGAAGGTGGCTGTGGATTTCAGTAACAAGTCAAAAAGGCTTCAGTGATGTCCAATTTGCAACAGGTAAGATTATGTGGCTATCCTCTGATATCACTAGAAAACCTGTGATCACTAGAAAACCTGAGATCAACTGCATTAGGTAACTGATAATTTTTTCCAAGGATCAATTACTTAATGCAGTTAAATCTAGATATACAGGTTTGGACTAATGAACAACCACATTTGTGTGTTTCCTTTACTGAAGGGGAAACAAATGCTAATCAGCAGTATTTGCAGAAAAGCGTTTCATATATATATATATATATTTTTTTTTTCAATTGGTGCAAGCTTTGATATACTGATGATACAGAGCAAATATTAACCAAGCCCAGGAGCTGCTTTAAATAAAAGGCTAATAAATAGTCCAGTAATTAGTTCTCATCCTGCTATATCCATCTTACATAAGACCTATGAAAGTGCATTTTGCAAAGGATGGCACGTTCCCTGCATTATAAACCTTTCTCTACATTTATACAAAATTAATTCATCTCATGGGGTGTTAAATGAGGGTTAAATAAGAAGCTTCTTGATTTTTATCCAACTGATTTACAATGCACACCTCCTGCTAACATCATGTTCCCATTCAATAGGTGAGCATGGTTATGTAAGCCAGTTGCCATGAACTTTGCCATAACTCTCAGATATTATGCTACTGTAGCTTAACAAGTCATGGTAGCGATCATATTTCTGTTGCTGGGCAAAGAGCATAACCCTCTTTGTTTACAAACAGTAAACAGGTCTATAATTGTTCTGTAAGTGGACTGTTCTACCTGAGTGGCTGATCTCTGCAGCTCCTTTAGAGCAAGTTTGAATGCTTTTTTTGTCCTTTTCGGCTCTATAGACTTACAGTTGTGGGCTACTCTATGTAAAGATGGCGGATAGTACAGCTTTCAGTGAGAATTGTAAAAATATATATATATTGTCCTGCAACATTATGCTGTATTAAAATTCCCTATGAATTTATCCCTGTCTGGTTTGATCATTTGCCTTCAATTGTTTATTGAATTACAGATTACAAAAACTCCTGAACAGCTGGATTTACACTTAGATAAATCTATGCACAAGTAAGCCATCTCCTTTCTGTTCTCTCCTAAAGGGAGTGGATTACAGTGGGTTCTGAAATGTTAGTACACTCCACACTTTTCATATCTTAATTTGTATCATTTTATTAAACCATATTTTCATATTATTTTACAATTAGGAACTACCTTGTGACTATAGCATCACATCCCGATATATATATAGATACAAGTGTGTGGTTGTAAAATGAGGAGAAAGTTCAAGGGGTGAGAATACTTTTAAAAGGTTCATAATTACAGTTTTCATTTGTCAGATAAAGAAGTAGCAAAATGTTTATATAGCATGCAAATGAGAAACTAAAAATGTCATGATAGGCAGCAGCAGGAACATTTCAGCTTTCATGACAAAAAGAAACCCATTTTCAGAGAGTTAGGAAGGTAATTATCTTAGAAAAGTAAATCCATAATCATAAATAGTTTGACAAGAACAAATCTCCCAAAGAGGAACAACAAAAAAAAAAAAGTTGAGAAAACTACATTTCATCTTTTTTTTTGCTAAACTCTAAAAGTCACACATGCAAATTGGTATCATTAATGAAGGCACAGTTTCCACATGCAGAGGGTGTGACAGGCAAAAATTATCATTCACACATTAGCATTCATCTAGAAGTCAGATGGCAGGAGGAACTAAGCACTTCTGTGCAGACTTCACAACAGGGCTGGGCACTCTGCCTCCTGTTTTGGGTCCAAAACTGCTCTAAAGGAGCAAAAGAACCCTTACTTTTTTTTCTTAGACATGCTTCGTCTAAGATCGAAGAAACAACATATGCACCCTAAGATTTCCAAGATTCTACACTTTGACTCATGAATACACGAAATGAGTGCAAAATGAGTGAATGAAATCCACATTTTTTTCCAATCTGTTGGAAAATCATTATTTATTATGAGAGCTATACGCTGACTTGAACCTTACAGCATCTAAGTTGTGGATAAGAGGAAAAAAAATAAAAGACAGACCCAGACAGGGAGAGGGGCTGCAGGAAATGAAGAGTTTCCTAGTGTCTTTCAGAGCTACCACCCTGCCAAAGAGAAGAACCAAATGAAAACCGCTTGGATGTGACTGAATGAAAGACAGACACAGGCGACAAGGGAAGGAGGGGAGGGGGTCATAGGAGGCATTAGTGGGAGTCATGCTTGTTTGAAGGTAGAGTGTATATTGGTCATATAACATGACCAAAAGAGTAGATCTCTGGCTTCCAAAAAAAACAGAAGAGGGGAATCAGGCAACCCATGCATGCACACTAACTGAGGCAAGCAGGTTATAAGGCATCCCATCAAGAAAAAATAAATGATCCAAACAAATGGACTGGAGTCTATGAAGCAAAGGAGGTGTAAGCCCAAAAAAAAAAAAATGGAGTGTTTCACAGTGCACATCATCACAAAGAAAGAGGAGCTCGGATACCAGCTGCTTCCAACTTACTTCCATATTGCTGTCTAGTGATCCTGCACTGCTGCGACGCCCCCGCTTGCCTGCCCGAGACATGCAATACCAGAGATTAGAGATCGACAGCACTTCCTGGATCGACTACAGACGTTTCGGCCGCCCAAAATTAAAGGAGATGTGGGTGATGTGGTAGGGGGGCAGCGCAGTGGACTGTGGGTAAGATCCAAATACGAGAGATAGAAGAGGGGATGGGAAGAGGGGCGGTCGGGTCTGCGAGGGAGGTGGTGGGCAGGTGAAGCTTTGGTTTTCTTTACTCAGAACTAAAATAAGAAAACAGTTTGAATAAAATAATAATAATAATAAAATAAAATAAAAAACTTCACTTGTATTCTGTATTTAATTTTACATCTAAAGTCAATTTGCACCAGGAAATTCTCAGTCCAAGGGTCATTTCTAAATCCTGCCAAAAGGTTCACAGCGGAGCAGAATTTCAACAGATTTTTCTCTTGAGCAAATCAACTCAGGGAATTCAGGGACGTCAAAAATAAGCCCAAAAAAAAAAATAAAGCCAGTCTCAGCTAGTGTCATAAAGCAGGCGTCAGATCAGAAGCCAAACAGTGGCTGCTGCACATCTAGGTCTGAGGGTGGAGCTTTACGGCCCACTCAGCCAGTGATATATGACCAATAATTACACATGAACAGGGAAATACCTGATGTGTATGGACAGTAAAATACATGTAAAATGGAGTATGGAGAAAAGAAAACAAACAAAAATGACCCCACTAGCATGCCATTCCCTGCACAGAAAAAAAAAGGAAAAACACTGGAGACAGGAGGGCAGAGGGATGTCTATGGACTCCTTCACTCCCTGACCTGGAGCTTCCCCACACAGGGTCGATCAATACAACATGAAATCTCATCTTCAGAACTGTGAGGAAGACCCCCTAACTGGATTTCATTATATTATCAAGTTTTTCACCTGATAACTTCAGCAGTTATTTGCAATGAATGACATGTATTCCTGTTTGTAAGGCACAGAAATACACACAGAAATACATGGATATGAGATGATTCTTGATGCAAAGGCTGTCTTTATCTTAATAACTGCTCAACTGGTGTTTGCTAACAGGTAAAAAGGAGACGGCATGGGATTTCGGAGTAACATGTAATGCTGTTTTTGTTAGATGTTTTAGGATGAAAACAAAATTAGGAATGCAGCAATGCTGGGACCAAAATATAAGCAATTATAAGAATGGTAAGATGTGAGAAAGAAATTTATAGAAATAAAAAGGAGTGAGGACTGCCCAAGATTCCTTATTTATCAGCAATGAATTGTAAAACCTTTGTTCAACCTTTACTCAAACAGGCCATCAGCTCTTAAATACAGTGTGTTAAAAACGTATTCATGCCCCTTGAAACAATATATTGCAGACATAGTGCTGTGGATTTGATGTGAGACACCTAGACAAGAGTAGTACATAACTGAAGTGGTTTGTTAACAGCTATAGGTCTTTTTTGGTATGTATCTACCAGCTTTGCAAGTATAGATTGGGATGCTTTACTCCATTCTTACTAAAAAAAAAAAAAAAAAAAAAAAGGCCAAGCTCAGTCAGACGCACAGACGTGCACACTTTAACTAAGATTTAGATCAGAACCTTCTCATGAGCATTAAATCAGATAATCATATGTTGATATTAACTAGGACCAGTTTCCAGCAAGTTTGAGATATCATTACAACTGATTCGAATTATGGCAGTTCTGCAAACTGATTAGTCAGCCATAAATGGAAATCGGGTGTGATGAAGTAGGAAACATCTAAAACATTCAGGACAGCTGCCGTCGAGGCCTGGAGTTTGGAACAATGATCAATATTGTTTATTCCTTCTTTCGGTTAAGATCATCCAGTTAAAAACGGAATTGGTCTTGATTCTTTTACAGATATTTCCCAGTGCTGCCCAGTACTAAATCTATTTTCTTATTGGCTCCATCATTTCTCCACTGCAAGATGCTGCTGACCCCAACAGTGGGGATGGTGTCTCAAGAATGATGTGCAGATTTTGTTTCCTCCAGGTAGATTAAGAAATTAAATCATACCCTGCCCCTATTTTATAACTACTGTAGGTGAATTTTTAAAACAATTGGTTGCACTGGGTTTTATGCAGGGTTATCCGAGGAAAGGGGGCTAAACACAAATACAGAAATTTCTGATATACGATTTTTTTCAATAGGAAAATGATACTATATTTATATTTCCTTTCAAATATGCACAAATTTGTGTTTCATTATCAGATAGAATAACAGCAAAATGCATTGCACAGCTGTATTCCGGTTCACTTTCAAAATTGTTTAAAATAAAAAGGGTATGAATACATTTGCGAGACACTGTAAATCGTAACAATATCCAACAACTTCTAGACCAAACTATCCAGAGTGAGTTAATGGATTCCGAGCGAAGAGAACTGTAAAAATCAATGTATGGTGCAGTGACACAACATTTTGCTATTTTTATCCCCTTAAATCTCTCAGCGGAAAGAACGTGAAAAAGGCAAGCATTATGCTTAATCTCTACCTGCTTCAGAGAGGTCCCGCAGGGAGCTGCTGAGGGCGCTCCTCTTCAGGCCCTCGCCCATGGCGTAACTGTCATCCAGACTGGCACGGTTCATGCCCCCGTTGCCGGCTTCCTTCTTAAGGCCGGAGCTTTGCGACATGCTGGGCCTCACCACCCCCTTCTGCTTCTCTAGCTCGGCTGTGGAAATGAACCGTGGAGACACTGGGGTTAATGGCAAAGACTTAACTGACATAGAGATCTTTCAACTTCCTGCTCTTTATTGTAACACCAGCTCTGCATGTCCACTATAAACTGAACCATGCTGTGAGCTCTTGTAATCTACTTGCTTATAAACTGAGGCAGCTGAATAATAAGTACCATGCTCAGTTTCTATTTCATTTAGCAAGAGAGAGGGAGGGGGGATGGGATGGGCCAAAAAGGCAGCTTACACTCTATTCTGTATTTCTCCATTTCCTGGACCTCTGCAATTGACTCTCGCAGATCGTCTGTGAACTTCTTTCGGTCCTGGGGGTTGGGTGCATTAAAGTTGATGAGCACTTTGATGTCTGCACCTGGTATTGCTGATGTTAGTCTAATTCCATTTGGGTAATCTAAAAAATGAGAGGAAAAGCGATTTATAAAGCAGTCAGATTAATTTAAGGTGTCAATTCCTCCAAACTTTGGAAGGTCTGCACAGTATACCAACTTCAATAACCTCTGTGATGTAGACACTATCATAAGGAACACTTACACTGATTTTCAAACAACATGACTTGCATCCCGTACAGAGAGAAGGACTGTCGGAAGCTGTACGTAACTGAGTTCTTCTTCTTTTGGAAAATCTTTGTTACCTAAAAGGAAACAAAGCGATTGTTGGTTTTGGATTGGAAGGGTGCAAAAGCTCAAACAGGGAAGGGGGAAAGAGGAAAGGGCTTTTACCACAAGGAGGTCATTGAACAGGAAGATCTCCCGCTGATGCAGGCCCAGCTTCTGAGGCTTGTTTGGATCTGGCACTTCAAACAGGCGGCAGTAACACACCAAACGGCGATGAGGCAGCGACAGCACCTAAGAGGGCAAAACACAGCCCCCAAAAACATGCTAGAGGTTATTATGGCCTCAGTCTACAAACTAATAGGAAACAGAACCGTTTTACACAGACTTGGACAAGGAAGATTCAGATAGAATGATAAATAGGTTACTTACACATCCAAGACCATGGTGGAGCGATCCGATCTAAAAACAGGGCAGGAAATGTCACATACTGTAGTTACTTTCCAGTTAATCGTTCTTAACAAACTGTGCAAAACTGGTAATCTTGGACCTGAATACTTTAAAAAGACAATTTCTAGTTTGGCCTTCAATATTATTTCTCACTCTTGCAGCTCGTTCAGTAAAAATGTCTGTTTAAAACAATTTTGTTACAGAATTTTATTTTCTGTGTTTGAACATCATAAATAAAACTGCTTCGGCCATAAGAGAAACCAAACGGAATAATAGTTCAATACCAGGCAGCATGAAGGCACAGTCCATAGTTAGCCTTAAACAGCTCAAAGTGGGCATAAATTAAAATAAATAAATAAATATAATTCTACGGCACAATAGTAGTATAAATATAGGGGTAAACAAGAACAAATAGAAAACTATAATAAATATTAGACCAATTTATTTTTAAGGCAAATCAGACTCAATAACAAGTGTCTTAAGTTGAGGGGGAAAGGTTTGAAACTTGGAGCTTATGTATTAATGCATTTTGTTATTTCTAGTACAGTGGAATATTAATAATAATAATATTAGCCCAAAACGCTGCTCTGAATATAATTTGTCCTTTAAGCAATGTAATGCAGAAACATAATCATGAGTGGAATTAACACTGTAATCAGGAGTGAACAAAGGAGGTCAACTGCAAATATTTCAGGGCAACCTTCTGCTGCTTTCAGCACAAAAGCATTTACATTCTTTCCAAGGTGAGAGCTTCAGTGTGTGCACGGCCCCAGCCAAAACACATGCATAAAATCATTGTGAGTAACAGAGTTTTTTTTTTTTTTTTTTATGACTTCCTCTTAACTTTAGACATAGCGTATGATAAAGACTTCTCCACTAATTGTCAAAACCTGGATAATACAAAGCGCTGCAGCAATCAGTGTGTAACAGCTGCATATTAGAGAAAAGCTGATAAAGGAATCTACTCTTCAACCCAATCAACCACTGCAACCTTTTCTCTCCAGGCACCATTACGTGGTGAACTATGAACATGAACAAATACAGCTTTGAACAAAAACAGCTTTTAAAAATTGAATTGAATATTGAACTAGTTCTTGTTCAACCTAGACTTAAAAAACTGCTCCTATGCAAACCAGGCCTCCCCTGCATAGCTGCCCAGGTTATCTACAGTTTTGAGCTTTAAACATGACAAAGGCTGTACTGCATGATGAACAAAGCAGAATAAAACTTAGCTGCATTCACTGCTGACAGGATGAAGCTCATGCAGGTCCAAATTTGGTGATAGTTTATAATAAAAAAATAAACGGCACTGGCCTCAGTGTGTGTCAGCATTCCTACTGTATTACCTTTCTCTTCAATCTCATAGTTTCTGTAAGGCATCAAGATGGTGGCGAGCTACCATTTGTTTTATCAGTACTACTGCAGTGGGCAGGACCTCTCAAGGGCTTTGGGTGTGTTAAAATCACCAGCATGAAGGTCTAAATCCGGACATGCCAGCAATTTCACAACAGTCGCCAAAGGCATGCAAAACTTTCCTAGACTTTATTTCTTTCCATTTCCCAAACTCAGAAATATGTGGGCTAAAACTGAGAAAGAAAATTCTAACTCCATTTATCCATATATAGAACAAATAGTGGATCAAATTTATGAACATTCCAAAAAGAAAAAAGGAAGAGACTTAAATTATAAATAAAACAGCTAAACTGTGAGAAAAACTAGGAAACTTATTAAAATGGCCCTAAGTTCAAACTTTATAATGCCAAAAGAAGAAACATGATTATATAAAAATCTCTATGTTCTCAACAGCAAAACAATCAGCATTACTTACCGGTTTCTTTCCCACTATGAGCTTTTCCACCTTCTGCACTTGTGACACGTGATCCTCATTGGTCTTTAGCTCTCGTTTACGAATCCTCTCATAGATGCCAACCAGAGTCTCTCTGGGTATGTCCTCTCCATCATCCACCCCTGAAAGTTAACATTGTAGAAGACAGTTTAAGAAAAGGTCTGTGAAAGAAGAATGTATTTACATAGATATAATACAAAAACTTTACAGATACATTGCGAGGCAAATTAATTAGAGGAGGTTACAACTGCTGATAAAGCAAACATCCATATTATTGGAATTCCTGGTAAAGATATATGGAATAAATTTAGATCAAAACTGAACCTATGAGCATAATTTCACAACCCACTCATAACAGCCGTTTCCCCAAAACAAAGGAAGCTACGCTAGAGATTAGAATAGCAAACAATAGTAGGAACCACATATAGCATCAGTTCTAGCAAACCTTACCATGGACACATGTTATCATATATTTAATGTTTGAATTTCAGTAATTTGGGAACAGGTTTTTAATGCAAAATAAAATGCAACTTTTGCTGCAGGACAGTTAGTACTCAGCGTTCCACAAATGGGTGAAACATATAGGGTGACCATGGTGGAGCAGCCTCTTTCTGATTGTCTCAGATTGTTCTATATTTCTGCTTTTAATGAAAGGAGAGGTAGCAGTACTTTAGAACCCCGAGTAGGCTTTTAAAAAGCACATTTTACATTTTTTTTTCCTTTCAATTTTTTCAAATGCACTTTAGTTCAGATTACTTTATCTAAGAACAGGACAGGAACCTTTTAACTTGGTTACAAGGCCCAGGTTGTGTGAAATATGCTGATATATGTCCAAAAATACCTTTATGTATATCAATAAACATCTTTATTTTTTTGTTGGTACCTCTTAAATTCTTGATGAAGTCTTCCAGTTTCATTTTCCTCTCTGGCTTGACGTTCGGGCTGTACATGTCAGTGTTGAGGAGGATGATGGCGAAGGCCAGAATGAAGATTGTGTCAGGGTTCCTGAACTGACGCACCACCGTGGGGTTACAGATGCAGTACCGCTGGCTAAAGATGTGAAAGCATATCATTTTACAAACCATTTTCAGAAAACAAAGCACACACACAGATCAAATCCCTTGAATGGTGAGGAAATATATTCAACACTGTTTCAGGAAAGCAGAAGTAATGCTGGAAAAGGTTCTCTTTGCCAACTGAAAAGTATACAAACAATAAAGGCGAAAGATAGAATTATAATGTATTGAAATGTAATGACTGGTCTGTTTTACTTTTTAGTTTTTCAATGAGAGCTTTACAGGTGATTTGTGTTATTATTTCTAAGTGAAATGGTAGCTCGCAGTCTAACCTGAATGCTTCAATGAGCCGCTCAACCTTCTGAGCTTCCCCTTGAACACGGATGTGGTTCTGAAACTTCCTGAGGGCCTCGTCCAGCTCCATACCCTGAAAGTCCATTTCATCTACCACACAGCTGGCACGAGAGGAGAGAGGACAGATGGACAAATGGAAAGTTATTCACAGACACTGATGTTTCTGGAAAACAGGTACAATTCCCATAAAACATATATTTTATACAAAAACACACAAAAAAGAACTAATATTGAAATTAATAAAGACCAAGTTAAATCTGTTCTTCCTATAGTGTTTTCAAATAAATATTTTTTTTTTACCAAGTAAACAAAAACTGACTGCTACCATTTGGTAGCATTTCTTTGTGGCTGCTAAATTTCTTTAAACTTTTGTTAGAGTTGATAGACGATGATATTGGGGGAGTACCATCAAAACTACTGTATGTATTTTTCCTCATCCACTTTTTGTCCATGTGAAACACTTGACTAAGAATTAGGTTACGATTTACGATTTGAATCTGATTTAAAAATAAACAAAAGGAACAACACAATTCTTTGTGAGCTATAAAACATTTAATCAGAAGCTTTGTTTATTATAAAGATATACACAAAAATGTTATTACTATAATTAAATAGGTTTGAATTAAAATTGGCTTCCAAAAGTTACACTTTTTGGCAAAACTACAAAGGAAAGGGGGAAAAAAGTCCTACTTACTCCAAGACGTCTCTGTTGAACTGTTTCTGTCGATTTCCCAGAAATTCACCAATCATCTGCCTACTGAGCCCCTTCCTTTGAAGCAGGAAGTGGGCAACACCGACTGGCGTGTCAGGGATGAATCCCCGCTCAGTCAAGTACTGAATGCCCTTCTCAGGTTTCCTGAAAATCAAACCGGCAGCAAGATGTTACAATTTAAATCCTACATTTTAGAACAGCAGAGAACGATCTGTAACTGTTGGAGCGCAGGAAATTCCTCTGGAAAACCTCTTGAGGAAAGCTTGTTGATCTTTTTTTCCACACAAGCATTAAATTGAGATGGGCAAAATAATACATTCAGTTTTAATTGGTAATTGAGTCTTCATAGTTTGTTGGTTAATTGCATTAACAGCTTCATATCTGAATACTATCTTTTCAAACCTTTAATCAACAATATCTCTCATTAAAGAAAATAAATGTCTGAAATAAATATCTGTTCCATAATACAAACAAAGTGTCTGGTTTGGCTTTTTGTTTTATATGCTCAACTGGATGCAAATTATATAGCAAAGCTTCTCAAAAGGCATGTGGATAGTAGGTCTATGCATATTCTATGTACTTACAATCAAGAGTCAGGCAGCTGCTTAATCACAGCTGAGTACCTACTTGTTGAAAAGATTGAGGCCGATGCGGTAGTGTCTCTTGCGGATAACGTCATTGCTGAATATCGGCGAGTCCCAGCTGTTTCGGGTCTCCTTATGGTAGGTCTGCTTACTTAGCGTCTGCTCTCGCAGGCTGTCCCTCGACGAGGACTCAGAGCTGCAGTTTATAGTGTCATTTGAGTTTGATGTGCTGTTGATGCTGTCATTGTCCCCATCTGAGAAGTCAGATTCCGATTTGCTCTGCCTGTTTGCCGAGCCATTGATGGCAAGATGGCTTTCTAGCTGCCGGTGGCGATGGCGCAGAGGAGCATCGTCGTCACGGGATGGGGCGCGTGGCGGAGGTCCGTGAGAAATGTGTTTGGGGCTCGCCTGGGACGATGTCACAATATGGCCGTGAGGCTCGTATACAGGCGGTCTTTTGACAGAGCTGCGGTCAGAGCGGTCACTGAGCTCTGCTGAACTGTCACTAGGAGGTTCTATGGTCAAAAGAGGAAGATGGTCCATTCTAAGACGCTGTTCTTGGCACTCCAGAGAAGGAGTGCTACGACAGCTTGTGTCGGTGTCACGACCCTCATCTTTAGAGTCAAGAGGCCAGTACTCTTGGGAAGAGTTTACTGCCTGCAGCCGCAAGTCTGATTCTGTACTAGAGGGCTGTTCTCCTGACCTTAGAGCAGCAGAATGGGACATGTCATCCTCATCGATGAACAATGTAACGTCACTATACGATGCAACAGTTTCATCACGTATCCTTCCAGCGGGCCTGCGATGGGATTTCATCGGATAGGGTACTTCCCCCTGTATGTTTGTGCAGCCCATAGCCTCAGGGTCCGGGCCCTCATCCCCCTGAAGGCTGCGACAGTTCAGCGCATCATCTATGGACTCTGCTAGAGACTTAACCTGCCTGGAGAAGGCATCCTCCAGCTCTGTGATGGCATCCGTCAGGTCAGCCTGCGGAGGTGGGTGGGACGTCATGTTTGGCTGCTGGTGGACTTCCACGTCTCCACGTTCAGACTGCACCATTGACAGAGGGGTGCCATCCTCCGTCATGGACACCTGCCTCCCTTCAAAGTATGAGCTGTGCACTTTCTCAGGGCCTTCGAATGAAAGCTGCATCCTCATGTTAGAGAGAACAATGCGTCTGGACATACGGTTCTCTGACATGGAGCTCCTGAGACGTTCAAAGTTCTTGTTCATCTGGTACTGTCTGAAGGCTGTCTGAATGGTGCGAGCTGCATGCCGGGTTATGAACCGTCCGCCATATTTACGCTCCAGCATTTCCACCTGTGTACAGAAGGGAGAAAAATAAATTTAGGTCTGTACCACTATTCAAACATTTTAACAATTGGGGAGAAAAGCTTAAACACATTAAATATCTTTCCTTAATCAACATAAAATTTAAAATTCAAATAAAGACTGATGACAACTTACACCCATAAATATCAGTTATGCAGAATAGATTTGCCATACATTTAACCGCTGCTCTCGTGGAAAGCAGAAATGAAATATAGGAAATTTAAATTGGTTGATTTCTAAAAAAATAAGTCTGTCTTTTAAGTAAAGAAGAAGTAAAAAGCCTCAATTCCAAACACTTTAATTCTCTAACATCCACATTTAGTCTCTGAAAAAAACGGAAGTTAGCTATGGATGAACAACCCAGGAACCACCAGATAGGGCCAATGAGCAGGAAAATGCTGGCATACTAATGCAAAAGTGAATGCAGCAGCGTAGATGTTTTTTTAATCTTGTCCTTTATGTTTGCGTTGACATAGTTTAGATGCTGTTTGAACTGTTGATTATGATATTAACAATCAAAACTGAAGTCAATGTTTATGTTGTGTTTATGTTTATTGACCACTATCCCGATTCAAACTGTTAAACTATGTATGGCACTGTCAAGTTGATAAGATGGCTTACTACCGAAAATACTAGCACCACTCATAGGGAGGAATGAGTAAAGGAGAAGGACGTCGCTCCTCTTTTCAATTGTCCCACAACTCGAAACAACGATGGTTAAGGTTTGGACCTAACTTGGTGTTTCTGCATAGCATTGATCCCTGACATTCAAACCAGTTTTTTTTTTAATGGGTAGTGCAGACTAACACTAAGCTTTTGGAAAGAAAAGAAAACCTTTTTTTTTTCCAATTTTTTTTAAAAATATTTATAAAATTGGGTCCTAACAAAAAAAAAAGTTTAACTGTTTTATTAATTTTAAACTTTTCATCAGCACATTTTTCTCTTAAAGCTAATGATAACATGGCTGATATGGTTCCTCGAGTTGTCAGAAACTTGTTTAAGCATCATGCAAAAATACTGAACCTTAACAAGAATAATGAGTTTGGAAAACCTTGAGAGATACCTGTTTATCCTGGAGGTCAGCTGAGAGCTCATAGCTCTCAGAAAGTGAACGAGACCGCTTGATGGCTTCCTCCTCAGCTTGTTTGCGAAGGATGGATTGTGAGTGCTGAAGTTTAGGCCGACGGGGCCTCTGCGGCCCGGGTTGAACCCCGTGGCCGTAAATTGGGCCGTCAAATCGGTCGGGGCTGATGGCTGAGCCGTGGGTTACAGGACCCTGGCCGTAGCCGGCTCTGCCGTCCAAGGAAGGGCCGCTCTCACTTGGCCGTCCATCTCCTTCCACACTGCAATCAGGGCAAAGATATGGAGAGACATTTTAGAAGAAATGACAATGAAAGTTCAAAGACTGTGTCTGACACTATTAAAATCTGATTTTTTACAGCATAAAGTAAGTTGACTATAGGGATTTATGATAATCTTTTTCAAATGAGGTACTGAAACCAGCAGATATTTTACTAAGAGACAAGAGAAACAGAAGCAGCAATTTTTCATGACATCTGTGTTTAAATTCACCTATTATTAGTTTAAAGTCTGTCTGATACAATTGAACGTCATATTCAAGATAATGTAAAAACTTTCATTAAAAACGTTTTATTTAGAAAACACAAATGCCACGTAAACACTCTTAAAATGAAACCTCTCGGTTTCTTGAAGGCTTCTTTCTTACTTACACATTCCTGTGCTCTGAAGCCCTACGAGGTGACTGCTTAGTGCGAAAAGAACGTCTGTTTTCAAAAAAATGCCAACTCTTCCTCCATATCTTGTCCACCATTCTTTCAGTCAAGTAAAGTCCAGAGTACAGAGGCTCCTCCAGGAAACCAAAGTTTATGCAAAGTTAAGGGCCAATCAGAGACCAGTGGGTAATTACATCATGTTTGCAGGAGTGACGACACGCTGTTCCAGTTCACGCTACAAAGTCCAGTTTAGAGTAGAAGGGTGGAGTAAATCCAACCTCCCGAGATCCAAGTGGAGATATAGCTGAATGAGGTGCTGATCTGCTCAATCGATCATAAGAGACTAACATCCCCTCTGTACCAGAGTATAGAGTGCCCACGGTTCACTCACAGCCAAATGTATTTGAACTGGAACTTGGCACACCCATGCAGTGTACACAATCTACTTCCTTCATTAGAGAGGCCTGAAATCAACATTCAGCAACAGCAGCAGCCAATCAGACAAGAGAAACCAGCGTCAGGGGGGGAAAAGGGGGAACTGCATAACTTCAAAGACCAGATGCGCACATGAACTTCTTCAGTTCATCCAAGAGCAGATTTATTTATTTGCAATGCATGGCAGAATAATGAAAACTAAAGTCTTTTTAATTCTTAATGCAGCTTTAAAGAAAATAAGTCTCTGAAGTAGACTTGATTGATGTTTGTGGTAGTGGACCCAAACTTTCCCTGATTCTTACTGTTTGTAATTCACACACATAAAACATGTGTCGTAAATAATTTGTTTCTGTTGTCAAACAGTTTTTTACTCCTGAACCAAAAATGGATTGATTAGTTTCAGAAATAAACATGAAGCATTTCAAGAATCCTGGTGGTCTACCGTCAGCAAAGACAACAAAAAGCACCTGACAGGCAGTAATGCTAAACTACAAACACTTCACATTATACCGAAGGTGAGCACATGGTATTGATTTTTACTTGCATATAAAAAAAACTGATATGTCATATTTTTTATATTGTTTCTCTATTCAGATCCTTCTTTTCTCCATTGGCTTAAAGACTTTTTTTTTATTTTAAAACATTGAAATCATTTTTTTACTGACTATATTTAAAAGGACATTAGGATGGGTAAAAAGCAAAACAATTTTTTAAAGTTTGAGGTGAGATGCCACAGACAACCAAAATGGCAATGTTGTTAATAAAAAGAATGGTGCATATGCAAGTATTTATTTATTTACTATGCCAACATGCTATCATCCACAATTATGTTACTTTGACAAAAAGCAACCATTAGAATTATTGATTTGATTGTATATATTTTTTTAGAATTAGCTGTGGAATTTATTTGTCGGTCTTTTAAAAGCTTAAACTTTGTTAAGTTTCTTTCTAAAGTAGCATGTAGATGTAGTTTTATTGTGATTCAGCAAACAATAACAGCGTAAAAGAAAGATGCTTTTGCACTGCTGGACCAACACCAGAGTGGCCACAAGTTGCTGAAAATCCAACCTTATTGCATAATCACCACTGGGACAAATCTCTCCAGCCATCTGTCATAGCAAACTGCAAAGCCGCTATTCTGCAAGTTATAATTGACACCTTGCCTTCTGTCGAGAAGCCAGAATACAGCAGAAGTAGTTTCTGAAATTCTATGTCCCTCAATAGAGCTTTAATTAGAATTGTGGATAAATGGGGGTTAACAGTGAGGTTTTTAGGTTTAATGGCACTTTTTTCAAGCAACACTGGCTAACATTTTGTGGATGGTTTGACACTCAGTTGTTTACTAGTATATCAGAAGTTAAGGGTTAATTTGGGATCTCTTAGGGTTATTATACAGGCTCTAAGTAAAGGAGACCTCAATCTTGATAGACTTGTTAAGAATTACACTATTCTTACTCAATAAATGCATCAAGCATTGCTTTTATATCTTGAAATATATCACATGTATATATATTTTCCCCCTGTAATCTTGCAAGGTAGGAGAGGAGCCTTTAAACCAATAGTAGTGCAGCCTATACTAGAAGAATGCAAAAATATGTGTGCTCTATATCAAGGTAAAAGTCAGTATTTTATTTTATTATGGAATCCAACAGTGAAACTTAAAACTGTTTTCCACACATTAAAACACATTTTTTGAAAAGGTAAGCATGTTAAGCGTAAAAAAAGGCCAACCGAAAAAAAAATTTCAATTCATACCTTAAATTAATTCTTTATTTTAGATAGATCAGACTGTATGTTTCAGACAGTGAGAATATGAATTTTTGTCACTGAAGGTCTTAAGGTCTGACTAAGACAAAAAGGATATATTTGATGGAAACTCCAATAAAAACCAAATTGACCTTATTACCATGGCTTTTATCTAAAGTTCTTTAAGAAATGCATAAAGGCTGCCTGCTAAATAAACTGAATTGTACCACTGTAAATCTATTAAATATCATATTTAGACAGAATTTATGTAACGCGACAAAGCTTTGAGTTTAATATAAATGAGAGTGTAGCAGACATTCTCTGGGTGTGCGTTCTCACTCCATCAAGTCAAAAAACACATTTATGATGCTAACTCAAAACTAGCTGCAAGGCAGCCTGTATTTTTCCAAAATGAGGCTTGTGGGTCAGATTCTTTCTTCACTCCAGTGCTTATATTCTGCCTCGCATTCAATCGTCCAAGTGTCCAGACAATATGGGATTGTGGGTACGTGGTAAAGTAAGAAAATAAGAGAAAGTCTGGGGTGCTTTTTGCTCTGAGGTCACTAAATAGTTGACAGAGTGAGGTCAGCTCCTCATGATGGAGAAAACGGAGGGAAGCAGTGGGGAGCAGACATACTGGAGTTTATATTTAAAGCTGACATGAATGTTTGAGGGGAAAATGGAAGAGACTTTGAGTAAGCTGGACATCATTGAGGGAGCAGTAAGTGAGACGTTACATAAACATATACAGAGCACAATGAGATCCCGAACGACGAAGCAGTGATGTAATGTGCACATCATCTTCTGTTTATAACTGTACTGCTTATGAAAAAAGTCCAAAAAAAACAAAAAGCGTTTGGGAAGCTCAAGAACAACAACTGTCCCTCCTTCAGGGTCTTTACCCAGCAGGAGTGCCTCTTGCTTATAATCTAGGGAAGCACGGCAGCACGGCTGGCAGTGATTTTCAGATTCAATGATTTGGAGGAGTTGGGTGGGGGGATGGGGGCACCAGACAATCACCCTCTTCCCCTACAAACATCCTGAGTGAGCAGACCTAGGCCCCTGCCCAGGCCTCAACCCATTCCATCAGTGGGACCTCAGGGAGAAACATTCCGACATCCCGGAAAAGAGGAGTCACATCTACAGGAGTTCTGGGAAAAGAAGAAAGCTAATGAGGTGCAGGCAGAGCAAGCTACAGTTCGGAACTAATGCTGCTCCTAAACAAAGTCACAGAGACGTCTGCAAACTGACAACTCTGGGAAACATTTAGGAAAGGTCTGAACATACTTTTGGAAAAACTTTATATTATAAAGAAAAATATCTAAATATAAAATCTGATTTTTTTTTTGGTGACAAAGCTAAAGTTACAAAACTGATGGTAAACTTTTCAAAATTTAACAAAACCATTCAACACAGCTTCTTTTTTCAGGAAATGGAGAGGGAAGCAGCTGTATAGTGTAACCCAGTGTATGCTCAGGGGAAATGTTGCCAAAGAAGCACAATGACTTCTTGTATCAAGTGGGTAAAAAGGTACCTCATAAAAACAAATTAAATAGTTCTCTCAATTAGTTGACTCACTAATTGAATGACCAATTAACTAAAAAAAACAAAACTAAAAAAACTGGCACCTGTCACCAAGAGAATGTAAAGCCTGCTGAAAACTATGGAGAGCACAGTTTTATTAGGATCAAGGGATAAATGCTGAATGAATCCTACTTTTAAAATTACACTATTATGAGTAAAATTGGCATTTCTAATTATATTCAATGTTAATATATCTAAGTAGACATTGTGCTGAATGAATTAGTGACAAAAGAACCAATTCGACAGATCTCTTTTGAAGAGTCATAAATATGACCTTTAACCTTGCTTTTTATGTGTGTATTATAATGCAGTAAAGTGGCAGTATAACGATCCTCTCAATGCAAATAAAACCGTAACTCAACGTTCAGGCGATAAAACCAAATGTGGCTTTCTTTGACTGTCTGAAATGTATGCAATAGATTTTTATGACAACAGGTCCTGCAAAGCATACAAACTTTGACCTTTTTGACTTTCTAATCTTTTACTCTCTAATGGTAGTTAGTGAAGAGTACTTTAGATTGCATTTCTGTGTTCCTAATTTATATTCTTGCTCTTAATTCATCCATTCTATTCTGCTGATTGAAAGTGGTGATCACCAGTAGCTGACACCTAAATTCATGATCTATTACACTGTAATGAGCCTCATAAACAGGCACTAGATGGTCTAACTTCTACGGATCGGTATCAGCTGTGAAAAAATTCAACCCTATTTTGTGCACCACTAATGTGCATCCATAATTATAGCCCCCCTCTAACCTTGCTTTTCAAAGATAGCAGTTTTCTTTATGCATGTATATAAACACAGGCAGTTAAGTGACCCTCTCAATAAAAATCAAACAGTACCT